CCAATGTGACGGCAGGCCTGTAGTTTTAACTCAATATGCGGTAAAACTTTGTCGTAGTTAGAACGTCTTGGTTAGAAAACTTTAGATAGAATAAACCACTTTAAAATAGAAATTATATAGTTAGGTTAGAATCCACCGAGTTGCAACAATGTACATAGCACAGTCTAGTATTCTTCTATTTGGCGACAAGCCCTGTGAAAATAGTGACACAGGCACAAGTGCATATAATTCTGACAAAACTGTATCTCGTTCTGCGACGTAAGTGCATGGTTCTAAACCGATACCGCGTCTTTACGCAAGTATTTATATTATACAATTAACATGTAATCAGGAATGTATAATATAGCTATATCTATATTAAACACTCCTGATGTAATCACGTTAACAAGAAGTCAACAAAGCAATTTCAATCGTTGCACATGTGTTGGTGAAAGTAGCAGCGTACGAGTGTTCTGACACATTTAAGCCTTACTGTAAACACTTGATGTTGCGCCAGCAATACCAGTATAGCAACTGTCGGGAAAACTACGAGAACGGTCGGAGAAATTGTTCGAAATTCTAACTTTATATCAACGCTAACCCAAGTTACCCAACCCGAACCTCCTCTGCTTCGTGTTTATCGTAATTTTATTATTCTCCGCTTACCGTATTCCATATGCCCCGGCTTCTCATCTAACCCTTCAGCATTCCTGGATCCGGCTTTCGTTTCTTGCGGCGTTGACACCGTTGCACACCAGTGGGCGCGCGCTTGCGTGCGTGCGTGTATGCGTGCGTGCAGGCGTACGGGTGTGCGTGCGTGCGTGCGTACAGAGGTTCGCTAAGACGCCGCGCCTTACGGCACACGTAAAGCGAAAGCCGCGGGATGAAGGTTTACACGCTAGGCGCGCAAACGGCGAAATTAGATTCGAGGTTTTATTGGCAGCGGGTTGTAATACTGATTTTTTCCGCCTCGAGTCGCCGGCATCTGTTTCCGCGTATGCAAATCAGAGCGGGATCATCGTTCCGTCGCCGGTTTACACGGGATGCGGGAGCCTCGTCGTTACAGACTTCCCACAGAAACAACAAACTTTTGCTTAGTAGACGCTGTAAAGCATTAAGTAGAGCCGAGAAGGCAGGCCGGGTGTTTTCCATCTGAAGTCACAACAGTTAACGACGATTCCATCAACACTTCGGAAAATCTTGAAGCGTATTTGGCGAGAGAACAGCTGACCTCGTCCTGCATGATATGGCAATATACGCGTTAAAAGCAGTTTCTCTCTCTACAATGGTCAGGGATGTTTTCCGACTAGAGAAATTCCTTCCCGCAATCGAGGTGGCGCTGATGTGAGAACTGTATCATCTGTGTATGAGTACCGTATCCCAGGAGTACCATATAGCATCGGATTAGTACATCATCAAACGATTATCAGTGCATAACCGTGGGCTCGTATTCGTTGGGTAATGGTTACAACGTCTCATCTGCCATGCAGACAGAATTTTACGCGCGAGGTGTACGGCAAAAAATGAGGGTGTCCTCTATTGGGTGCAGACGCTGGGTATATGCCATCGTCAACGTCGTATCGACGGAACCGAATCCAAAGTCTGGTTGTGTAAAACCTCCTCAATAGTTACGACTTTATACATCTAATATGCCATAGCTTTTGCACTCCAGCAATATATATATATATATATATATCAAGAGCTAATAATACCTAGAGTGTACAACGGAAAAACGGGAAAATAGTGCTATTTCACGACATGATTATTCTACTTTGCCTGCGAGTCTAGAATAATTTTATGGTACTGCATTAAGCAGAATTCTTTGCTCTCTAAAACAAGACCAACCGCTTGTCAATACGATACTCCTGGGCTGAGATATTGGCTCCTAAACCTCCCCTCCCACAGGCATCACAGCGCCTCGAATCCACATCATTCAGCAACCTACACGCCTCTAAGGTTGCTTCGTGAAAGTTCGGTTTTTCCGCCATAACTTTATGAATGAACGGACTTTCGGGAGCATCGCCTATGCCCTTATCTCCCATTATCTTTCCTAGCACGGCTAATGCCCGTCATGATGGAGCCGGCAATGTTTTCTTAATTAAGTTTTTACAATGCAGCTCAGTTACTATATGGTGTTGTAATAGTACCAAATTTGGGCATGTGACATCAATTTTCAGCGCTCCAAGCGGTGACGGAAACCGATAGCCGAAATGCTTAGAGGCGTGTAGGTTGCTGAATGATGTGGATTCGAGGCGCTGTGATGCCTGTGGGAGGGGAGGTTTAGGAGCTAATATCTCAGCCTAGGAGTATTGTATTGACAAGCGGTTGGTCTTGTTTTAGAGAGCAAAGAATTCTGCTTAATGCAGTACCATAATATTATTCTAGACTCGCAGGCAAAGTAGAATAATCATGTCGTGAAATAGCACTATTTTCCCGTTTTTCCGTTGTACACTCTAGGTATTATTAGCTCTTGATATATATATATATCAAAAGTAGATATTAGGGAATTCCCTACGATAATGATATATATTATTACGACACGCTTGTGACTCTACGTGCACTCCCTGGACATTATTTCTCGCGGACGGTGACAACCAGCCCACGAGTTACTATTACTCCTTACGCACTATCCAATGTTAGAAGTACTCTGGGACGCCTCTAGGATATTATATGCACACTGGGCAGAATGTTATAGAAGTACAGGGTAGCAACCCATGACCGTTATTAAACCTTACACACTGTTTAATGTTAGAAGTGCTGGGCGGCGACCCCCGGGTATATGATATATACACACTGTCCTGCTCTGTACAGTTTGTTAGTGCGGTGTGGCCGCAAGCAGGGAGAGGGTAGGGATCGCCGTCGGTCAGCGACCAAAGCTCACTCCCTAGTTTCGCCATAGAACTTCAACCCTAAACTTACAATACCTTTTTCGCATAGGCCCTTGACAGAAACATGGCGAAGTAACGCATTTCACACACGCAGTGTATGGAGGTTCGGTTTACGAGAATATTACGGTTAGGACTGATACTAAGACTAATTTTGTTTCTAACAACGGTCTCAGAGAACATGTTAATATAATAATATTAAACGCACGCTAAGGCTAAATTTTGTGCCCGACAACGGTGTACGGGGAACAAGTTAACGTTAAAACAAATGCTAACTCTTGTTTCTAACAACTGGCCCCTAATCTCTCCCAGCCCTCCCTCTCCCGCTCTATCTCCCTCCCCTCCCTCTCCCTCCTTCTCCTGGCCCCGCGCACAGGGAGACCGGACGCTCGTGACGGCTCGCGCGCCAGGCAGCGGACAGACGCGAATCAAGCACGCACGCTCAGCTAGCGGTCGCTCGCCGCGCGGCGTACAAGCAAAATACGCGGCGCGGATAAAATACTGACCAGATGCTCGGCCGATGCGGCGAGCACAGGCCGCCCGCTGGGCCGCCCGACAGATGTCCCAGCTTCGCTGACCAGCAGCGGCCGTATTCGGCCGAGCATCGTCACTCTGGCGTCCGCACGCGCGTGATGCATCGACCAGCCGAGTAGGCTACGAGTGGCGATGTCGGCGCGCGAGTTAGACCGATTCCCGGCGTCTCCGTGGCGCGGTAGTTCTTACCGGCCGCGGCGACGTGCGGTGTCGGTCTACGCGCCGACGAGCGTTGCTGGCGCCACGTGCGGCGCGCGCCCATCCGTCAGCATGCGCGCGTGCGTGTGCGACAGACGTGATGACGGGGAAGAATGATCATCAGCGGGGTTGGCCGGACGCCCCGCGTGCACGCGCGCGCAACATTACGTCACCTTCATGCTGTGCCATCATGTATACTAGCAGTAGTAATACGTTTACTGTTTTGCTTTTCTTTTACTGTCTTGCTTGGTTTACTAGAGAGCTTTACTCGTCGCCTATAAGGGGGGTTGGTGTATACTGCTTACCGGTTTATCGCCTCTACTGAAGCCATTTACATCTTTACTTCTTACATATAGGTGGATGTTCTTTTTCTTACGCTTTTGGCACCAGATTTGATCTTATTGCGAGCGCTGCATGCGTATCATCGTATGTGGCCGGCATGGCGTGTATGCACTCAATTATTACGAATTCACATGTCAGAGGCACACGCTGTAGAAAGATGGACGTCACTTCAAGTACGGACAGAGGGCGCGTTATGTAGACTGCTGTGCGACGGCGCGGCGGTTTGGCGTTTTTCGCACGTTAACCTGATGGCTGTTATCAGACCTTGAAAGAAGCTGAAAGGACTGCGCAGAGTGTGCTTGAGTACCCCTGTCAATATTTCACTAAACAGAACCTTGCTACCAGCGGGTGTCATCAAGGCATCTGCCGGAGAAGGACCTATGGCCCGCCATCCCAGCGCTAGACGCATGCTTTATCGGCAACAGTATCTTGGTATGTCAGGGTCCTTTACGTGCATCAGCTAGCAGACCCAGCTGTAGGAAACAGACCGTAATGGCAAGAGCCATCGAGCCATGTGGCAAGCGTATCTGGTTTAGGCCGTTCGTCGCGTGGGAACCTGTACCGCACATAAGGAGGGAAGCCCGCGCCTAACGAACCGCCGATTTGCGAATTCTACAACATTTTTCGTTCGCCGGTAAACAAACATGGCCGCCGGCTATGAACGCGCGTGACGTGACAGCTTTAAATAAATACGTTGCCCCGGAAACCGTCATCGTATCTCTTCCTATGCGCGTTAAATTCTATAGGCGTTCCGGGTTCAAGCGTCGTTTACAACACGATAACTACACTCGCGCATATATCCAGTATCGTGTAAGAACAAGAAAACACATGCGCGGGCATGCGCGCACTCGAGCACACACGCACCCTGATGCACTCACGGGCGCACGCGCGCCCGCACGCACGCACGAACGAACGAACGAACGAACGCATGCATGCACGCACGCACGCACAAGCGTATTACGAAGCGTCGGTGACACATAAGCGTCTATGAAATAAGAGATAACAGAAGCTCGAACGCGTTGCTGTTCTGCTGCTCACAAGATTCTCAATGATCGTACTCACCCGTATTGTCCGGAGATATAGGCCGGGTATCCACCTCGTAGCTGTACGGCTCCGGGCAGAACTGAAACGCGAACGAAGCTATGTTTACACACACATAGATCAATTCCCCGCCGTACCGTGCTTACACAGACGGCGCGAGGTAAAAGATAAATTTTATATTGAACGAAGAGAAATGAAGGAAACAGAGAGGGTAGATTGAACAGACGAGCACAACAACTGCTATGTATATAGTCCATAATAGACTATTTATATTAATAATTTCTATAGATAATTTTCTATTATGAACTATCTATGATAATATCGAGGGCACACAAACGGTTTATATGGTTAATAACACATATATATATATATATATACTTGATATAATATTCGGTTACGTTCAGTATTATATGATGACACATGGCACATGCGCGCGCTCTCTGCTGCTTGTTTTAGTTCGTCTGCATCCACGACCGTATCTCGCAGCCGAACAATGAAAAAATAAATTTCTGCGCAGCGTCAATACCGGCGAAAAAATTACACAGAAACCTAACCGATTCGAATTTAGAGAACAAAAACAATAAATAATTAAAAAAACGCGCCGCTTGCTGTGCTATGCTCGTCGCTGATCGAAGTCAGATTTGCAACGATCGGCAGATGGCGCGTGGCGAGCTCCACGCGATGAGAAACGCACCGGCGTGCTCGGCTCTCGCCCGTATTCCAATACAAAGAAAATGACAACATGTAAATGTATAGTCACGCAGCTGCTCTCCGCTTTTGTGCTGCGTGACAGATGTTTTGATGGATTTTAATATTTTAGCGGGGACATCCCCGCTGCACTCGTACGCGGCACGCAGGGCCGGTCGCTGGCGGCCATTGCACAGCCACTGTGCCCGAGACTCACGTTGGCCCACGCTCGCTCGCACGCACGCACGGAGGCATATATTTCAACTGAAATTCTAACGGGAGGAGTCGAAGCTCGCGGTTTGCTGAAGCGTGCGGGAATGGTTATAGATGGCGCTAGCGGTATTTCCTTCGCACACGACCTTTAGCATAAAGCGGTAGAACTTTTTTTCTAGATTAACGAGAGGTCTTATGCCCGTGTTTTGTGACTAGATACCATCGGAATGAGACAAACCACACACAGAGAGGCAGACATTCCGAAGCCAATATCACTAAATTATTCAGCACAACGTAGTTTCGTTATCTTATACATAGTTACCTCGTTGTACTTAGTAACCTAGTATATTCTATCAAAACATACTTCTTTTTTTTAACTGAAAAAAATGCTTTTTTTCACGCCTGAGTTTATCAATTTGCTCGCATACGACCAGGGCGCGAACGACTAAAGCTACATAATTATTGTAATCGAGAGGTAGGAATAGAGGGGGCACTTACCAGGACTACCCGGACTGTTTCCTCGGGGCTTCGCACCGATATAGGCGAGGTTTACGTTTGCTTTCCGTCCATCTATAATTGGATTTGCGTCCTTGCATGCCCTCTCAGCCGCCGTCCTATCTCCCATGGTGACCTGCAGTGCAAATTGAAATAGAGCCTTTAAGATGGGGTGGCACTTCACTTATTGAAAAACGCAACGTGTCGCACATGACAATTTTAAGTTCAAGTATAGCACCGCGCAATATGTAATAGCTAGTGTCTTGTGTAGTTAACGCACCTAGTGTGCAAGATAATAAATACAATTCGTGTGTGGGAAAACACGGAGGCTGTGGGAGAAAAAATTATAGCGGATGTTTCTAGTTCCTCCTGATTATGACCGTCCGATTGGGTGCATGTTAAATAAGGACATCCGTGCGTAACTAAGCGCATGCGTCACGCACACAACGCTCGCGTGTGGAATAGGCGCATGCGTGCCGTGTTGCTGCTCGAAATTCGCGAGGTGTGTGGCGATTAGCGAAACACATCAGCAGAAACTGTAACTATGTCGTCCTGGACGCATCCTCTTACATACTTTGCTAACGTGTAGTAACTTTATTAGTGTAGGTGAGAGAGAAGTACAGCGTCAATTAAACCGCGTGTCACAGCTATAGGACCGCGAAACCAAGGACTCAGCGACTTTCCAATGAGTTTTCGTCATTCCCTCCCCCTTCTCCTACCATCCCCTCATCCCGCATCATCACAGCATACGAGGTCGTTCTATGCACAATGCGCCTACGAAATCGCGATTCGGAGGACGGTCCTAGGGGAACGCAGCAGCAGCGGCGGCCACCGCCACGCGCGTGTGCTGTACATTTCCAGCAGGTGCGAATTAAAGCATCAGAGCACGGAGCCATTCGGCACGCATTACCTGCCCATTAGTCTATCGATTGCGTATATAAATCGCGACCGCTTCTCTCAGACTGATTATCCCGGGCGACATGTGTTACCTTCTTTGTGTGTTCGCTTTGCCGGGGCCAGCATGATTATGGTAAACAGAGAAACGGACAGCGTAATGAGGGTCGTCAGCCTCTGCTTACCTGTCGCATCTGTTCGTATTTCGCTATTTGCAATGAGCTCGCTGCGTGCGTATGTGTAACCCGCAGTTTCGTAATTTGGGAAAAGTCCGTTTTCCTTTACACAAAATACATTATAGCCGCATTCATAATTATTATGTTTATAAATATTTTATGATATATATAAATATTATGTGATAACGCGTGTCTGCTCTATCTATATATCTATCTATCTATCTATCTATCTATCTATCTATCTAT